GGGGCTGCGCGTCCGTACGGGGGGGCGGTGCGTAGGGGGCTGCGCGTGTGGGGCCTCTTTGTCCTCAGCTGCTTTATGGAAGCCGCTCTTTGACCTCCCCGTCGCACTCGGGCAGGCCACACCAGCCTCCTTCTGTGTCTCTCCAGAAGCTACATGGAGCTGGCCAGACCAAGCTGTGTGGGCTGATGGCCGAGTGGTGACGGCCCTGGTGCCCTGCTCACAACACTCAGTGTTGACCGGAACATCCCTGAGAACATGAGGTGTGCAAACACTAGACTAGAGACACCTTCTCCAGCCCTGGCCGGGAGGGACAGGAGCAGCCCTGCAGCCTACCTGGGAGCAGGGTATGGGCAGAAAGGGCCCACAGGGTCAGGGCGGGGCCTCCTGTGGCCAGAGTCAATGTCACTCAGTGCTCAGTTTGGACCAAGCTGGATGGGGACTCCTGGAGCATGAGATGAGGGGTAGGGCCTTGTGGGGTCAGACACTCCGCAATGCTGAGGAGGGCTCAGGCATGGCCCTCGGGGGGCACTTTCGCACTCGTTCATCCAGTGCTCGCGGAGGACTCAGCACAGCGCATGCCCAGTATCCATCTGCAAGAAGGGGGGGGTGGTCCTGCCTCAGAGGGGACCTGAGGTCAGCAGAGCTGTTGCGCCCGAGGTGGCCCTCCCTCTGCCCCCCACAAGGGAAGTGGGACTTCGACTCTGCCCTGTCCCTGCTTCTTCCAGGTGTCCCCAGGCCTGAAAGTCTCCCCCTGCTGCATTCCCAGCTGTGGGGCTGGGCCTGGCACCCATGGAGGACCTCGGATGCCTGTCTGGGCCTCACTGGACACCGGCTCCACAGAGAGGGGCTGGCCAGTGCCTCACGGTGACACCCGAGGCAGGAGCACCCCGGGGGCAACAGCATTAGGATGGCAGAGCCCACTGCTGGCCCCGAGCCCCAAATCTGCTAATGTAGCAGCTGCAGCCAAGGAGGAATGGAAGGACTGGGACAGGGCTTGCCAGGAGAGAAGCAGCAGCTTCTAGGGCCCCCAGAAGGCTGACCCGGGGAGCCCAGGCCCCATCCTCGGTCCCGCACCCGGCAGCACAGCCACCATCTGTTAAAGGCCTGCTGAGAGCCGCCACTGAGAGCACACAGGTCGGCGTGGATGCCGCTGCCGCAGGCGGCCTGATGCTGTGCCCAGTGTGGCTGAACCAGGTCCGGAGCTGCCTGGGCTCCTTCCAGCCTCGCCGCCATGACCACCGCCCGGCCTCCCAGCCTGCTGCCTCCTCGGTCATGCCAGCCGAGGGGAGCGTCCAGGCCATGGGACACAGATACTAGGGGTCAGCCGAGGCGTGCCCTCCCCCTTGTACGGTGACAAGGCCCCAGTTTTCAGCAGGACACACAGTTGTCTGACAAAGGCTACGTTTCCCTTGCTGCTAGCTGCACTCACCTGACTACATGTTAGCTAATAGTGTGAGGATGAGTGCTTTGTGTTTCAGGGCATGCTTCTCTTCCCCCTTTCCTTCCTGTTGCTGGGATTGAGACGTAATGGCTGGAAGTCAGCAGCCGTCTTGCACCACAGATGAACCTGGAAGTAGAAACCATACAGCGTAGATCAAGAAGATGGGAGGGCCCAGGTCCTGCACACAGTCCTGAAATGACCACCTGTGAATTTCTTGAAGGTGAGAGGGATATAACCTTTAATTATCCATACAACAGGGTCTAAAACACTTAGCACTTTCATCAGGTAAGTTCCTGGAAAATGTCTGCCATCATTGCTGTGGGTGTTTTTGCAGGGAAAACCTCAGAAGGGGCTGCGGGCTCAGCCGTGGTGACCCAGGAAAACTTCCCTGAGGAGGTGGCCTGATGGCCCAGTGGTCGGGGTGGCGTGGCCAGCGTGGCCTGCTGGCTCTGGCCACCGGATGCAATGCTGTGCTGAGCACTGAGAGCGGACACTCCCAGCATCTCCGTGGAGAACTCCGGTTCCCCCACGGACTGCGTTCAGCTCCCAGCAGACAGGCGTTGAGCGGCCTGGGCACAGGACGGGAGGGGAGGATGCCCAGCCAGCCGGGCAGGAGGCTGGCATTGGGGACCATCCGGGCTTCCACGGGCTTGGTGCCAGCTGAATGCTTCGCATCCCTGCACCACAGATGCGGGAAGCGCTGATGCCCCATTCGTTTCAGGTGAGAGGAAAGAGGCTTTGGGCTGGACCTTCCACCAGGGCGCCCGGCCTGGGGGTCTCAGGTGGGAGCTGACACCCTGCCTGGCCTCGGCTCACCCCTGAGGGCTGGTGAGTTTGCCTTCAGAAGGTGAAGCAGGGAGGCCGTGAGGCACCGCTTGGGGCCATACACCCTTCCCACAGCAGGGGCCTCGCTCGCAGTACCCCCAGGTCTCTCCTGGAGACTTGAACGTCAGAGAGAGGGGCATCTGGACCCCAGCAGGGTCTCCATCACACACTGACTGCACCTCGTCTGCTGCTGGGGCCGAATGCTGACGGGCCATGTGGACACTCGCCCCCAGTCCATGCCGGAGAAACAAGCCGACGCATCACCCTCCCCTGTGAGCCAACCTGCAGGGCAACCAGGGAGCGGAGGCAGCTCAGAAGGCTGTCAGTAGGAGAACGGAGCCATGAGTTGTGGAAAATCCACACAGTGCCGCTCTAGGAGCAGTTAAAGAACCCTGAGACCCTTAGTAAGACTGGGCAAAGAAGGCGGACATGAGGCAATTCCTACTGTGTGTGGTGCATTTACATGAAGTTCAGGGACGGGGGGTATGAGTGCTGGGAGCACGGGAACGACACGTCTTGTTCTGGGCAGTGTGTGTATATTTGTGTATGGAGGTTACATGTAAGGGACGAGGTGCCTCTCCCTGACGGCCACGGCCTGGCCCTGGGTGCCTGGCGGCCCCACCCCACCCCTCCAAGGCCCTGTCGGCCAGGTCACTGGACCCGCAGAGCCTGGACAGGAATCTATACTTCAGTTGTCCCCTGGGAACTTGGGGGAAAAGCCAGCGGTGGGTGCATTCCTGGCGATGCCAGGATGCCCTCCCGCCCGAAGCTTTGTGACAGCTCCCGGAGGCCTGGGGCCCCTGTGGGGACACTCGCGCCCTCGTCCCCCACTCACCTGTAGCAACAGTACCAGGAGGTGTTGAGCGGAAGGTCCGGGAAACTGCCCAGACATGGTAAGTTACATCTGCTCAAGTATTGCATTGAAATGTAAAGAGTCCATAAATGGGCTTTGGTTTGATACCCTGTTTGCTTGCACCAGACACTCCCCGCCCCACTCTGCTCCAGGGATGGACTCAGGAGCCCAGTCAACACTCCCTGGAGTCCTGCCCTTGGGAAGGGGCCTGTTCTCATAACAGCAGGGGCTGCCGAATGGTCTCCGCGGTGAGTTACCACCAGCATCGCCTCACGGAACTGCCTCCTCCGTGTGTGGCGAGAACATTTAAGATCGACTCTCTCAGCGGCTTTCCGGGGGTGCATGCAGCTCTTTACCCAGAGGTAGGACTGCTGGATCTTATGGTATTTCTGTGTATTTCTTGAGGCCCCTCCATACTGTTTTCCAGAGTGACTGCACCAGTTTGCACTCCCACCAACAATGCACAAGGGTCCCCTTTCTCCACATCCTCAAAACACTCATTATTTCTACTTTTTTTAGGATGATGACCATCCTAATAGGTGTGAGATGGAACCTCACTGGTTTTGATTTGCACTTCCCTGTTGTCTGGTGATGTTGAGCATCTTTTCATGTACCTGTGGGCCTTTCATAGATCTTCTTTGGAGGAATTTCCATCCAGATCCTTTGTCCATTTTTAAATTGCATTATTTGTTTTTTTGCCATTTAGTTGTATGAGTTCTTTATATATTTTGTATACTAACCCCTCATCAGATAGATGGTTTGCAAATATTTTTTCCCCTTTTGTATGTTGTTTTTTAATTTTGTTAATTGTTTCTTTCACTGTGCAGAAGCTTTTTAGTTGGATGTGGTCCCACTGTTTATTTTTGCTTTTATTGCCTGGGCTTTTGATGTCAGATCCAAAAAATTGTTGCCAAGACTGATGTCAAGGAGATTTTCTCCTCCATTTTCTTCTATGAATTCTTTGGTTTCAGGTCTTACAAGTCTTTAATCCATTTTGAGTTAATTTTTGTGAGCAGTGTTAGTTGGGTTCCAGTTTCATTCTTCTGCATGTGGCTATCCAGTGTTCCCAAGACCATTTATGCAAGAGTCTGTCTGTCCCCATTATGCTCCCTCATCAAATATTAATTGACTGTATATACATCAGTTTATTTCTGGGCTCTTAATTCTGTTGCATTCATCTATGTGTCTGTTTTCATGCCGATATCACACAGTTTGATGACTAGAGCTTTGTAGTACAGTTTGAAATCAGGACGTGTGGTGCCTCCAGCTTTGTTCTTCCTTCTCAGGGTTGCTGTGGTTACTCAGGACTTTCCTGGTTCCATATGAATTTCATTTATTTATTTTTAAGATTTTATTTATTTATTTGTCAGAGAGAGAGAGAGAGCACAAGCAGGGGGAACGGCAGGCAGCGGGAGAAGCAGGCTCCCCACCAGGCAAGGAGCTTGATGTACTCCTTGGACCAGGACCCCGAGATCACGACTTGAGCTGAAGGCAGATGCTTAACGACTGAGCCACCCAGGCATCCCAAATTTTATTTATTTATTTTTAAAGAT